CATTGTGTGGAGGGGGCGCGATTAAACCTATGATTGAATATTGGGTTGCAAACATTGAAAGTTTGAGAAGTACTGCTCTATAATATGGCTGAGAATTTTTTTTGGATTGAAGGCCGAATTGTAAAAGCGGAGGATAACAGAGGCCTTGGTCTTTTTTATAACTGCATTCATTGCATAGAGTTTTTATAACTTACACAAAAATAAACTCTACTGGGATTGCATTAAAACCATGCAATAAGAATGCGTCAGCTTTCTTTGAAGGAGCAGTCGAGTTTGTAAGATCCACCCTTTTTGGAGGGTGTTTCGATTTTTTTAAATCTGGTTTCTAGTGCAGTGAAAAGGATTCAAGTATATGACTATTGGTCTAGCAGAAAGTCCTACATTGTATGATTTGCAAGCATAAAATTTTTAAAATTTTTTTTTATTATTTACACACGGTTTGTGATTATACACTTTGGCTTTTTTCACCCTTTTTATTCATATTAAGGTTACGATGGGCTGTAACTCTGAAAATAATGTGAATTTTTCTAAACTCATAGCGGTGCCTCTGGGCATAGGTATGAGTTATATACAGGCAGAATATTATTATAACAGAAGCTTTTTTCACAAAAGGAGAAAATTTTGAATAAAGGTTATTCTAAGCTAATTTTTTGCCGAAATATTGTATTTAAATAAAATTTTTTGTCAAAATGTCCTTAAAACAATTTTATGCATGTGTTCAAATCTAAAATACACTAAATACTATGAAAACTATCCATTCGTGTGCTTTCTTAAAATCACGGTTCCGAACGTAATCGGATACCTTAAATCATTTGTATCATGTGTACGAAAATTCACATATTTCGGTATTTCGGGAAGTGGATGAAAAACTTAATGGTTACATTACATTTACACCTACATTTAATGTAATGATGTAGTAAATTTTAATTTGTGTAGTGCACTTGTTGTCTTTGCCTGTGAGCAGTAGGAAAAATGTTTCGTCCACTGTATTTAATATTGCTTTTATTATCCAAGAAATATAATTAAATATACTAACCAGGAATTAACGTGTGATTCTTTAAAGGCTGAAACTTTCAATTTTTTTTTATTTTTAAATTTTTTTTTTTTATTTACTGGGAATTATTTCATATATATTCAAAGCCTTCTTACAAAAAAGCATCTTTATAATAAGTGAGTTAAAACTTTTATTCCACTCTTGTAAATAAAGAAAAAATTCAATAGTGTTTCACTTCCAACAATATCGTATCTAAAACTGTTTTTGTTTCTAATGCCACCTGTCTGACATAGTCAGATCGAGGCCCACGAAATTCATCGTGGCAAGGGGCTAGAAGTACGTCTGTCGTTGGCCTTGAGCAGCATACAGGTGGCAGTACGATTCAGCTCAGCGAAATTCCCCGAAGAGACGATAAATGGTGACACCACCCATCTCCACCTCCACAATTTCTGCATGGAACTGAAGGGGAAGGAAATATTCTCCAGTCCCTTCGATCGTGACTCAGCCCACAAGACTTTGGACCCACTGATTTAAAGAGCACGTACCCCGTCTGTACTCGGAGGGTATTTGCTGGCATCGGGCATCGATATCAGGCCTTCCGGTCTGGTATCCGATGCTCTGACCACTAGGCTACCCACGGCCCGTATCTAAAACTAAAATATAGAATGTTACACATTTAGATATATTTGTGACAACAGCTATTTCAGATGATTCGCAAGTAAAAAAAATTGGAGCTTTAGAAAAAAAAATTAAATTTAAAAAAAATGTTCTATTAATAATAGAATATTATTTAAAATTAATTCTTGTTTTCACCATGTACTATGTACGCTCTTATTTCTCTTGAGTTGGAGGGGGCGGTATCGAAATATTCACTAGAAAAGGGAGTGCCAGTTCAAAAAAGGTTGGGAACCTAAGTGCTAGATAAATTAAAATGGCTAAAGTTCTTTTCTTTCTGATTCTTTCTAGATAGTCTTCCATGGAGACAATACGGAGGAAATACACAAATATATTTCCAAAGAAGTTCTACCACAAGAATATGGTGGTGATTATACCAGTTACAATGGTGGGGACCTGGTGACAAAAGAAATGGACAAAACTTACGATAAGTTTTCGATGTTGATCGGGACTTGCTTCTCGTAAAATTGTGCTCCTCCAATGAGTCGAGACTGAATGTTTTTATAATTATTTTTATTTTTCTACTAAGAAAGCTTGCGAAAAGTGTAAAGACCTTAGTTTATGACAACTCGAACCAAACTTAAATTGATAGACATCGTGTTTTTAAACAAAACGCAATTAAGAGTTATATTTATTTTTATATGCATTTTTTTTTCAGTTTTATGTAAGATGATCGGGACGTCTTCTTTTAAGCTTGAAAAAAGATATCTTGTAGAATGTATTACTTCCTCATAGCAATACTCATTGTAATGAACGATTATATGTATACTGGTGCACGTATATTTCAAAGTACGAAAATAAGTTTCAAATTTAAGCGATATGCAAAAAAATTAACTTTTCCTAGAACTTTTATTTTTATTATGATAAAAAGTTTTTTTAAAGTGCTATATATTAATTTTACAAATGAAGCATCTTTGGAATAAAGAATCCGTTGAAAATTTTGCCTAAAAATTCGTTTCAGAATGTTCACGTGAACTTTTTAAAAAACTAATAACAGGCCAGAACATTTTGTATCTAGTAAAAATATAGAATACTTATAATTCTCAACATCACTTTTCGCAGCATCCCTTCCTCATGTTAGTTGAGGTGGAGATCTCGGGGATCATTGTGGTCCTCGGGTATAATTGAACACAGAATAAATGAAGAAGCCATTAAATAAGGCAGGAAATGATTATAAATAGGTATTTGCTATAATTCCCCTTTTTATAAATTCAAATCTTAGAACTGTGTGTGCGATATGTGGACAAAACACGCTAAAGGGTAAGAATAAATGGGTTCTTATCTGAAATAAGAGGTAGCCTCTCTGAAGCTTGCCAAAGAAAAATCCTCCCAAGCAGCAACGCGAATGTAATTCAGGAAATAGTTAACGTAGCAATATTGTCCGCAACATCCATTATTCTATATGTTCTTCTATCTCACTCAATGTTTATAAACAACTTGGTAGTAACGTTCACTTGATTGGAGGCATTGATGTAGCTTAAAGTGCCATTTTGGCTGAACGGAAGAAAATGCAATTTAAAGAGGATAAACCTCGAGGATATTCCATTGTTACCACTCATGCATTACTATATGAAAAAGAGCTAAAAGTAATTACAGTCGAACCTCTATATTGCGAATTTTTCTATATAGCGAGCTTTTTCCAGGAACCTTGAACATTTCATGATTTTCTTCGTAAAATAACCTATCTATAATGAAGTGCATTTTCTACATAACGAACTTTTTCTTTTGTGATTCAGTTTTGTTCTCCCTTTTTTAAAGTATTTGTGAAAAATTTCAAGTTATTCTCTCTTTAACTCATTTTATGGTGGTCATAAATCTTGAACTAGGTTTATTAGATGTTAACTCGCCGAGAACAATAGAGTTCTGGGTGTTTCATCCAAGAAGCGCAACCCTTAACCCCCATTGCCTAGTTCACTAGAAACAACTTCGATATCCTCTTTCAACCTCGCTAGATTTGTCCCGTATCCCCGAGTTCTAATTATTGAATCATGTATGCTTAATGTTACTTGTATGCTTTAATTTATAAAATGTCCTTAAAATTCATTAATTTTAGTATAAAATTATTTTTTCTTTATACTGAAAATGCAGTGAATTTTTCGACATTTTTTGTTGTTTTCCTTGCAGTTTTTCTTTCTTTCTTTTTAATGGCTAAGAGAAATATAATGAACATATACAAACTTAAAATAAGCTGTGAATAGTTTCTTTTTTTAATATATAGTGTTTATAAACCACATATAACAAATTTTAAATCCATAAAGTATATTAAAAGATGAACCTCTATATAAAAAAATTTCCAAATAACGAATCTTTTTCTAGGATTTAGCGAATTCGTTATATATATATATACGTCCGACTGTATTAGAAAATCTTATTGTTATAAATATTTTAGTAAAAAAAATTCTTTTTGAGGGAGTTAAAATTTTCATTACACCTAAATAATGCCTTTAAATAATACTCAAAAGAGAAATTAAACGCCCTGATCCCATTACTTTAAAATAGACGTCATTCCTTTGATCACTTTATTTCAAAAATATCTTTCTGTTTTGACAGTGGGAAGTCATAACATGTGTACATATTTTACTGTATTGTTGTATACATCGGCTGTTTGTTTTTATTGCTCCAATAAAACTTATTCTTAATGGAATGAGATAGTGTTAAATAAAAATATGTTTTCATTATAGTGCCGATTATTTTTATTCCTGCTTTTTAATAATTGTGATTTATGAATAATATACTTTTTAAAAAAAATGTTTCAGGAGTTTATCACAGATCTTCTCAGGGTATTTGCCTACAAATGTTTACTTTACTTATTCGTCGACTTTTACGCTACATGACTACACAGGTAGCAATGCTTTAACATATAAAGTTTGGTCTTAATTTGGGATGCCTAAGTTATTACAGTGGTGGGTAAACATATAATGAAATTAAAACACTTTTTATTTAACTAAATTATTCTGTAGACTCTCAGTTTGAAGAAAATGTGACAGCAAAGCTCAGCTTTAAGTGACATAATAATTTAACGGCTAATATAACAAACAAATAATATTCAAAATGAATTTTAGAGGCAATTGCTACTTAAATCAACAAAGAAAAATTTTATTTCAGTTACTCTTTATTAAGTAATTACAATTAATATAAATAGATATATACATATAAAAGAATCACACTATCAAGTGGCAAAATAAAAAGCGATTTTCCGTGCCATTTTCCATTTTTCTTTTTCCAGTGTTGGACTATTACTTATGTTTTTGCTACTATTTATTCATTAATTAACTTTAAGTATTCCAATAAAATAGTATGGTAAAATAAACCATATTCTCAGAAATTAGATCATCCCAGGAGAGATTCGAATCCACGACCTTTGGATTAAAAGTCCAACACGCTATCCACCGCGTTACAGGGAAAGCGCGAGTGTGTTTTCCTTTTTATATAGGGTGTCGAACTATTAATTGTGTTTGTTACTATTTATTCATTAAAAATTTAATTAATGAGTTGATATTTAAAAAACTGTATTAATTAACTCTATTAACTTCATGAGTCATGCACTACAAGTTTTAAAAAAATGTGTTTGAACTTGAGTGAATGAACAAAAATGTATTTTATTAACGATTGAAAATTAATATATATATATATTATAATTTATATATATATATATATATATATATATATATATATATATATATATATATATATATATATATATATATATATGTGTGTGTGTGTGTGTGTGTGTGTGTGTGTGTGTGTGTGTGTGTGTGTGTGTGTGTGTGTGTGTGTGTGTGTGTGTGTGTGTGTGTGAATGTGTGTGTAGGGAATGTGTGAACAAACTGTTAGAATTGAAAGACAAATAATGAAATCTCACGAAGATTTCATCCATCTATTTTAAATTGATATAAATTTTATATTTCGAGGTGGAAAGTATTTTTTTTATGTGTGTTAATAAACTTCACTCTTGTAGTTCTGAGCTGAGTGTTTCACTTGAATAGGTTACAAAAACATATTAACGTTTTACTTTCATTCTGCCCCTTATTATTTGTACCTAGAGATGTATTTAAATGTTCAGATTCAGCTGAAACTGATCCTTTCTGCTCGACACTTCAAGAACTGAGGACATAAACAATCTGAAGGCAGTTTCCATTAAAAAGCGTTATTAACTTCATTGAAAAAAGGTTTATTGTTTTATCTCTTACTTGTAATTCGTTTTGTATTGTTGAAAACAATATAGTCATGCAACATTTTTGTAAATCATATTTAATTTCAATCACTGTTCAAGATCAAATTAAGAGGAGATAAAGAAGTTAACTTTTCTTTGAAGTGAATTTTGTGCATAGTCTTTGTGAAGAGGATGGATGAAATTATTAAGACTATTTGTGACTCTAATACGGAGAATCGGCCAAAACATCACTCTGTTGCCGCTTCAGAACAGGATAACCATTGAAAAGGAATGTAGTAATAATGAAGCGTTGATTGCACCAATTTGCATTGATTATACCGCGTTTGTGCGCTCGATGCTTGCAGGCGCTCGAAGCATCGGAACTGGTATGAGCAAAACGCATGGACTGAACAGCAGATGAATGGAAAAGGGTACTGAGGTACAAGGAATCGTATTTTCAACCACCTCCATGCAGATTGGGGGATGTTTTCTTTATATTGGATGAATCATTTTATTCGTGTGGAAGAAAATCTGCATGTTCAAAGGTATTTAAGTGTTATTGCAGATCGAGTTCATCCTGTTATGTTAATGGAGTACCCTGCCGGGGACGGATACCTTCAGTAGTTCAATGCTTCATGCCATACACATGAAAGTGTGCTCAATTGGTTCGAAGAGCTGACAGAGACTTTATCTTGCTTAGTTAGCCTTCACAATCACCAGATTTTTAATCCAATTGAGAATTTGTTGTATGACATATAACAAGGCATTAGGCATCTAAATCGAGTACCATCCAATTTTAAAGCATTGGAAAAAGAATTTCAACGAATATCGTATGAGATTCCTCACACCACCTTCCAACATTTCATAGATTCCACGATAAGAAATGCCCATGCTGCAATAAGAGCAAAAGGTGTTAAGCAATGAGCTCAATTCACGTGACGTCATAGTCGCATGATAGTGAAAGCCACGGGATTTTAATCAATCAATTTAAAAACACATGCGAAGTCATAGTCACACAATAAAAACTATTTAGTTTTTCCAGCTAATCAGTTCACGCGCTCCAGTGTTGCCAAGTTCTGCTCTTTGCAGAAACGTTCTCTTAAAAAGTACATATGTATACAAAATGCCTTTTATTTAAAAGTATAAACATAAAATATGATTTTTTTTAATTTAAAAAAATCTTTTTTGAAGAAATTTTTTCCCTAACATATTTAAACACCTTTACTTAAATATGAAATTTGAAATTGTATCTGAGTTTTACAAAAATAGAACAACAAGTACAATTAGTTTAATGTTTGTTTTGAGTTTAACGGGAAACACGTGTTTGTTTTTATCACGTGACTTCATGAATTGAGCCCTTTGAACATTAAACAGAAATTAAATAAACATTTAAAGCAACAGCGTCATATATTTTTTTCATTCCATTCATTTATTATTCTTTTTTACACAAAACAAAACTCTGTGTTGTCTCTCAGAACATTACTTAAAATTTGTATCAGAATAAAAATGAACATTTATTATCAGAAATAAATAAAATATGCACACAAGATGACGTCACTGTTTTGAGATTACTTCAGCTTTGTGGATTTCAAGAGTGCAACATCCTCCCCCCTTGGTCAAACTCCAGGGGGATGACCAGCTTTACAGGTAGGATGATGATGCTTCCATTAGCACGTAGCACATGGATCCTTGATCTCGTCGCTACCAAGAATTAGCTCCTCCACTCGTGCTCTTTTTCAGGTTTGTGGGTGTGTGACGTCTTTTTGCAATAGGAGAACGTTCCTTATTCGAATTTTGGAAGAGTTTTGGTAACCACGCACTTGATGAAGGGTGCTGCGCAATTGTAACAAGTATTCCTTCGCCCATTCCTTCCAAAATTGATTTAATAAATAGTTGTTCAAAGATGCGCGTGAACGTCTTCTCTCTGTGGGTTCTGGATCCGAAGGAATTTTATTTAATTTTTGACCGCTTAAGAACTGACCCGGGGTCAAAGCTTCTTCGTAATCACCACACACAATTCCCTCTTCCTACATCAAATGTCTACTGTTGATAGCGGCTTCAACTCTTACCAACACGGTGAAAAGGCTATCTTCGTCTAACAATGCTCACCCCAGATTTTTTCGTAAACATTGTTTAATTATTCCAACCAACCTTTCCAACCCTCCTCCCCACCAAATCACGTGTGGTACAATGATTTTCCTCCGAATACCATTTTCAGCATAAAATTGTTGATCATTTTTTGATGACAGTGTATTCCATAAAGTAGTTAATTCTTTGTTTGCGGCTTGGGAGGTTGTGGTATTGTCCGAGTAGATGGTATGTGGAAGTCCCACGAATCTACGAAAGGCCATCAGAAATCTATCGGTGGTCATATTTGATACTAGCTCAATAGGAAGCGTACGAATAGTTGAGCATGTGAAAAGCGCTATGTAGGACTTCTTCGGAGAATTGGTGCCTCGGACATATACTGGACTCGAAAAGTTTATAACAGTTGTATAGAATGGTTTACACGGTGTAAGCCTTTCAGCAGGTAAGAGTGCTTCAATTTACTTGTCACAATTCAATTTATTTGCCTGGTAATTCCACATATCTCATAAAGTTGTTTCAAGTATGGCGCTTGGTACATATACTCGCCTGAGTGCTTCTATGGTAATAAGTTCAATCTATTTTTACTGTACTATTAGTACGTTTAGTTGAAATCTCATCTGGTATATACTCCGAATGTAGCAGACCTAAAGAACAACATTTTTTTTTTCGTTTCCTTATAAATATGCAATGAAAATCGTTTAACACGAAACTGAGGGAAATGAAATATTTTTTCGTCTTTAAGGATTTTACAAAAATAAAATATAACTTCTACAAAACTAAGTTTATTAGAGCACATTTTACTTAAATAGATGTGTATATATTTGCATGTATTTAATATAAATCAATGAAACAAAAACATTTACAAGAACTTAGTGCAATATAATGCAAAATTTTCAAGTTTTTTGAAAAACAAAACGTATATTAAGTTTTTGGAAAATTGTCTGCTATTTTTCTTTTCTATGTCTTTTTTAGCATCAGATTGTTTGATGTCGTCTACTTTTTTTTTTTCATTTCACCATTGTAGTGCACATCTAGATAACTGCGCATACCTTTCATGATGTTCCTTATTTTGGATGACTGGGGAATCAAGAGCCCCATTATTCATTTCATTTTTCCAGCGAAAATCTGCACCAATGATATTTTTAGCTTTGAAAAGGCCTTAAAATGTTTTTATCTACCATAATTAAGGCGGTACACACATTATCACCATCCACTGCAATGAGATCTTCTGATGATACAGTAAGACTGTCCAGTAACACAGAAATTTTCTCAAACATTTCGTTAAGTGCCTCGTGTTATCCGTATTTTGTTCATCCTTAGAAAAGAAATATTTTTGTGTTAAGGGATTTTCGATTCGTGTTAAGAGAAAAAAATGTTTGGAATTACCTAGCAGTTTGTCGGGACCGTTGTATTATTCCATGCTAACTGATCTAACTGATATTTCGTTTTAAGCGTTTTCGCAATCAACGTATGTTAATGTGTGCCCATCCGGTATAGTGGTTAGAGACGCTGACTGCTGTGCCATTGGGCCTGGGTTCAAATCCCGGAGAAGTTATGGATGTTTGTAAATGTATAGTGCCTTCACGCCATGGGAGTACTTAAAAAAGCCGCCGAGATGCATGTCCTCTCGTGAAGTTGTTGGAAAGGAAAGAAAAGGGGGAGGCCCTTGCCCTCCCTGGGTATTCTCCCTCAAAATTGGGGTGAAACCAAGCTAAATCGATCTGTTACATGTATGGTGCTCAAAGCTACGGCTAACGACATGCGTCACTTGGCCCTTTGCCATGATGAATTTCACGGATCTTCATCTGGCCTTTGCCGATCAGGTGGCATTAGTAACAACAACAACGAGTTTTACAGTATATGAATATAAGTGAGATAAAGGAACATCATTATATTCAATTCCTACTATTAGCTCACACTCTCTATATATTTATTTATCTTGGTGAATTTTTCAATCTCTAATAAAATACATTTTAAAGCTCTCAATTGAGCTAAAATTTTATATACATGATTTTTATTTTGGATGACAATACAAATAATTTAATTATAATTAAAAAAATTAATTGACTAAAACTAATTATTTAAAGAATTATAAATACAGCCACGTTGGCATCATTTTCGGCGACTTAGCGACCCTTTTGGGACTTGTGTCAAAACTTGAAA